CCCCCCCCCGCCTCGGCTGCCTGCACTTTCGGTTTCTTCTGCGCTGTAAATAACTCCTCCTTCGGGTCGGGAGGGGGGAGCCGCACAGAGCCAGCTCCCAGCCTCGGTTACACCCCCCCCCACCACCCGAAAAAGAGCTTCGCAGCCGGCTCAGCCCTTCCCGGAGGGAAGAAATCCGGAGGGGACCCCAAGACCACCCCCCTCGAAAGGTGTTTTCCCAAGGAGCGGCATCCCCCAGAAAATGTAAGCAGGGCCCCAGTGCCCTGTCCCGCTCCAGGGGGGCAGTGCCAAAGGGGGGTCGGCTTCTGCCCCCCCCCCGCCTTGGAGAGGTTTTCCACATCCCTCTTTGTCCTGGGGAGATGGATCCTGGCTTTCCTTTGCCCCTTCCTGCAGGGCATCGGTACCCCTTTTCCAGCCATCTGCACCATGGGGACCACCACGAAAGGGGGACCACCACGAAAGGAGGACCACCATGAAAAGGGTGACCACCACGAAAAGGGTGACGACCATGAAAAAGGGGACCACCACAAAAGGGTGCCCAGGAGGAGCGCTTGGGGGTTCACCTAGCCTAGCATCCCCAAAAGGAGAGGGCATGGTGGGGCACTGCTGTCACCTCCCCTCGGGGCTTTTGATGCCTTTAGGATCTCCAAAGCTTGGCCCAGGCTGGTGCCATCCAGCCCCAGGGTTTGAAGAAGATATTTACCAGGTAGCTTGGCCGGATTGCACCCGTGAAATGTTTTAATTTTGGAAACACTGGTTCAGCAAAACATCCTGGGGGCTGGTAAAGCTGCCTGGAGCTCCAAGACATTTTAACCTGTGGGGTGCTGGGTGCTGTTGGGGAGCTGAGCATCCCCAGAGAGGCCGTGCCACATCCCGACAACTCTTCCTCACCGTCGCAGGACTTAATGTATTGGAGTCACACCACGCAGTGTCCTTGACTGGCAGCAGCTCCCAGGCCTCAGCCAGCACATGGCCTCTTTACGCAGCACCCTGGGGTCCCTTGGGGAAACTGAGGCACCGAGGGGTGCCGCCCCATCTGCCTGCAGATCTCACAGCCCACTGCTGCCCAAGCATAAGGCTGCAGACCAGGTTTATTGTCCATTGAGAGTTGATAGAAAGGAAGCTTACAAAATAAATAAATATCTATATATGCCTCTATACAGTCCACACACCCCCACAGACAGACCTCACAGCACGCATGCAAAAACACTTTGAAGCACAAATTAGCGCAATCACTTATTACAAACCGCTGTGTCGGGAAGGCTCGGGTACCTCCAGGCAGGTCATTCCCCAAATCGCCATCTCTGCTCCTTCCCCATAAATGCCAATATCCCATTAGCAGTGCCACACTGGACCCCAACTCCAGCCCGCTGGTGGCATCCCAGTCTGGTCCAGCCAGCCCTCGTGCCCCGCTTCGGCTGCCCACCCCACCACGTGACTACCGTCCTTGGCCACAGTGTCTCTATCCAAACTGCTCAGCTCTTGCCCCTTCCAGTCGGAGACGCCCAGCCATGCAGCCCATTGTGGGGGCACCAGGACATCGGTCTGTAACCTGGTGGCATGTTGGCCAAAGGACCTGGAAGCAAACTGGCACACGCTGGGGTGCCAACCAGTTGCCATCCCATAACGTTGTAGGCAAAGGATGGGCAGGGGAGGTAAAGCCAAGGACAAGGACAGGCAGTGGAGCTCACCCTCAGTTTCCGTGCTCAGGTCTTCACCCAACTCCTGCAGCCTCCACGGGGAGGGTGGCAGGAGCTGCAGCAGGGCGAGGTCCCCACCATGCAGCCCCCCTGTACGTCCCCCCACCTTTGCACACCTACAAAGACACATGCACACAGACACGCACCCACACACATGCTCTATCTACGTTGCTTCATCGCCTTGATGAGCTCCTCCAGCTTCAGGGCAAGGTGCAGGTCACCTTTCACCTGCAGCCTCCCGCTCACGTAGGCACTCAAAGGGCGCAGGTCACCCAAGAAGAGGTCCTGCAGGTCTTTCTCTGCCACGTCCAGAATGACGTCGGGGCTGCCCTCGGGTATGCCGTGGCCAGCCCTCCCGCTGCCTGTAGGACACGATGGGTGAGATAAGGAGAAACGGTGGGCTTCAGGACCCAGCCTTGCCTGCTGGCATTCCCCCCCACCGCTTCATAAGGATTGAGTTGGGCCAGATGATGGGCAAGGGCCTGGCAGGGGGATTTTGGAGACGGGAGCCCTTACTCCTTATGGAGATAAATTTCTCCTGCGTTCCTCCAAAAACGTTCTGTTACAGTGGTCTACCTCCAAACCCTGTGCTACTTTTGCCATGGGCACCAGGAAAACCGTCAGCAACCACGGGGGGATGGATGAGGGTGCTGGGAGGACATCTTCCAGCACGGCAGTGGCCCAAGGTGCTGCCCACGCATGTCCCCCCACCCACTACGCCCCTGGGCTGGTGGCACACAAGAGCCAACAAACCCTGAGGTCTCTGAGCCATCCCACTTGGCCAGCCAGGAAGAGACCTGGCTGCCCATTTTCTATAAATACTCTCTTCCTGAAGGAAAATTCATGGTTTTAACCCAAAACAAATTATACTTTGGACTTCCAGGGAGCATGGACTCAAGGCCGCGGTTGCCAAACTGCAGCGCTCAGCTGATGGACCCTGGGGCGCCTTTCGTGGAGCTACCAAATGGGCTTGGCTTGGGACCCCCTACCACCAAGCTCGGTGGGTTTCACAGCATGCAAAGGGGGCACAGGCACAAAACACCCTCCCGCCTCCAACACAACCACCCCAAAGAGTGGTGACCTGAGGAGAGGTCTATGAAGTAGGTGCTCCGGGCGCCGCTGGGCAGGGCGATGTTGACCTGGTAGGATGCTCCCACCTGGGCGACCAAGGCCTCGGAGAGGACAGGCTCCACTGCCGAGAGCAGCTCGTCCATGCTGGGCTTCCTTCGGGCGCTGCCAGTAGTAGTGAGGAGGGGAGCGGTGGGAGGCTCCACCTCGTTCACCATCTCCATGCTGTCTGCTGGGGACAATGGGACAGAAGTGGGTTGAGGAAACACCTTTGGGTGGTAAGCTTTGCTGGTTTGCACAGACCCACCAGAAAAGGTCTCCAGAGCAAAGAAACCCACTTATCCAGCAAGTTTCCAGCTAAGCAAGAAGAGGACAACTGGTTTTGCCAGTTCCATCTGCCTGCTCCTCTGTCTGCCATGGGTTACTCTTCCCCTGCTACCAGGGGGTGGAAAATTATCCCTGAAAGAAATAGCGGGGCACAAATTGGTGCAGGGTTTCTGGAAAAAAAATCCATGTTGCCCTCAGAAGTGACTCTCTTGGCAAGCTCAGGCTTTGGGTTTGCCTGATGGAAATGCTGAGATCTGAGTTGGTCTTGAGCCTGGGCTCCTGCCCTCCCCAGTCCTATCTCTAATGTCTTGTTAGAAAGGTTGTGTTGTGCCATGGGCTGTATGAAGTTGTGCCCGAAACGGTCTCCTCTCCTCCCCCCTAACAGCCTATTTGTGCTGTGCTCATAGGAGCTTGATATCTCCCAGACTTTGACTCCTCTGTCAAACAGCCAACAGAGACAAAGGTCATCAGGCGGGAGAGACATCCCCCAGCAGAGAAGCAGTAGCCCTGGGTTGGTTACCTGCCTCCGGCGTGCCGGTCCCGCTGCCTGCCAGAGCCAGGGTGTTGTTGAAGAAATGGGCAGCCAGCTGCTGAATGGTGCCATCCAGCCCCTCCAGCCCAGGCATGGGTGGCACTGTAGCCAGAGGGCCAGCCAGGTTTTCCCGGGGTGGCTGCAGCACAGCCTCCATGCTCAGCTCCACCCGGTCCACCTCCAGGCCCCAGGACTTGGTCATGTCATTTATCTCCAGCTGCAGAGCCAGGAAGAAAGGGAGAGGTGTTGGCAGCCTAGGCAGAGCTGCCATGGGTATGGCCGTGGAGACCACCCACCATAGAACCCCCAACCATGGGCATCCCAGAGCTTATACTTCTGCTACCCACCAGCTTTAGATGTGGGGTGTTGGACCGGGCTCAGTTGTCCACCTCCTCCAAGCTGTCCAATCTCACGTTCAACCTTGCTCCCCCAGTCGCTCTCCCAGTTTGGAGGAGGTCAGGACAGGGAGGACTGGTCTGTCTTGTTCCCCTTTCCACAGCTTGCTCCCAGGCTGGCCCCTTTCTTTGCTCCCCCCGGGGCAACATGTCCTGGTGTGAGCTCCACCAGGCAAGCATCTCTGGCCTCCAAACCACTCCAGGCACCCCAGAGATACCAGTATATCCCCCCAGCCTCCATTTATATCATCCCTCATAGACATTTGACCCACAAGATTTTGGCCTGGCCCAGGCCAGCTGCAGGCACTACCTATCGCCCCTCTGCCACCGCCCTGTCCTGCTTCTCTCCCCAAAAGCCCTTTCCAGTTTGCAGGCCCCTCCAGACATTTCCTGGTGGAGATATGGAGGTCAAATTTAAGCCTGCCAATAACATGTGGGCTTTTGTGTGTGGCCAAAGCCCTTAGAGAGAAGCCACAAAGCTCCAGAGATCCACAGGCTGAAGGTATCTACTCCCCACTAATCACCACGTTTTCCCAGTTCCTTTCCTTGGCCAGGTCCGTGGCTAGATGGACTTTCAGCAGCTCCATCTTTCCCTTACTGTTACTTCCATACCAAAAGCCCAAGGGGTTGGGGGTGCTTGGGCAGCTCTGTGGAGGGCTGGGGGAGTCCTCACCAGCAGCTGCTCCCCAATCCTCAGCTTCTCCACCTGGATCTCACGGAGGCTCTTCTTCACCAAGGTCTTGGTCATGGCGTTCTGCGCCGTCATCCGGGTGGCTGCGATGAGGTCCTTCACCATCATAACGGACAACACGGGGTCCCACACCCGGAATTGGACGTCAGCACCCATGGAGATGACTGCCCCATCCTTGGAGGTCAGCTGGGGCAGAGGCGAGTCAGGATCTCTCCCCCTCTCCGCCCCACGGCCCAACCCTTGTGCATAGAGCCTGGGAGCAAAGGCGTTCACTTCTTTCCCAGCTGTCAACCAGCTCTAGATCTCTTTATTAAGAGGGTTATTAGAAACCAAACCAACCCGAATAACTAAGTTAGGGCTAGTCTGAATGGCGAGGGCAGTTTCCAGCATGGGGCTGTTGTTGAAAGACATTTGGGAAGGATAGGGATTGATGGTTTTGAGATGTCTCCAGCCAGGAACACCCATTAAGCAAGGTGTGCAAGGTCAAGAGGAGCTTTTCAGCCACAGGCAGGTGAGATGGGGACTCTGGCTTCACAGCACAGCTAACCCCCCCCATTGCCTTGCTGTGACGATGGAGGAACTGAAAGTTGGGGTCATGCATGGCACCAAGGGTCAGACCATCCCAAAAATCCACCTGCTCTGGGTATTTTAGAGAAGTCTCTCTATCCTGCCCTGAGGCCCAAGGCAGCTCACCTTGCAGGGGGGCACATTGAAGGCCCTTGTCCTCAGATCCACTCGCTGCCAGTGATCGATGAAGGGCAGCAGCAGGACCACGCCGGGTCCCTGCGGCGCCCGGATGCGGCCCAGGCGGAAGATGATCATTCGCTCATAGGTGGGCACGATCTGGAACGGGAAAGTTGAGACCAGGGCAGAAGCAAAACCCTGGGTCCTGTGGTGCCAGGAGCAATGGGACCAGGGGCAGCCAGAAACGGTCCCCCCCATGGAGGAGGAGTTGCCATTCCACTCCTCACCTGCTTTCCTCCCTTACCTTCAAGGCAAACCATCCTGAGATGGGGAAGGTGACAACCATCAGCAAGAAGACCAAGGAGGTGATAATGCCGTGGCAGATCCAGGATAGCCAACCCTGTGAGGAGTCTGCAAGGGGGTGAAAGGGGGATGTACCTGCTCCAACCCCCCCTATCCTGCCCATGAACCCCCATTCAAGCCTCTTCCCCCACGCACCCTGCACCCCAGAGAAGCTGGCAGTGTGGGGGGCACCCAGCCAGTGTGACACCCTCCAGCAAAAGCGGCAATGGGGAGGAAGGCAGCCGTTGCCCTCTAAGGTTAGGACTCACCTGTGGTATTCCCGGCCGGCCCCAGAGGGTCTTGCTTGGATCCGAAGGAGAAGCCGCCCTTCTGGGCACCGTAGAGCCCAATACTGGACTGCTGGAAGCGGTCAAAGTCTCCCAAGGGAAGAGCCTGGTATCCCGACCGGCTGAACATGGTGCTGGTGCCTTGCACGGGGCCCCCGCTCGCAGCGCTCAGAGCCTGCTATGGCCAGCTCCCCGCTGCCATCGCAGCCACCTCTGTGGCTAGCATGGCTTCTGCTTCTCCCCGACCCGATCCTGTGTCCCTGCCCACCCTGATGTGCAACCGGAGAGAAGCCAGAGAAGAGCTGACAAGCCCTGCTGTTATCACAGAGGATGCTCGCTAGAAGAAATCAAATCCTTCAGGGGGGCTTCCTTGCTGGGGTCTCGCCCAGGCTGGGGGGGCTGGGGGCTTCACATCCTCCCGGCGACCCTCTGGGCAGGAGCTAGGCCAGGAGACAAAAGCTATGGCCCCGCGGCTGCCCTCGGCTTCGCCATCCCCTTGGAGCTGGGAGATAACCCTGGGGTGTCCCCGGCCACCAGCCCCGTGGCAGCAGGGACCGGAGGAGGCTGTGGCGAGGATGCTGCGGGCGGGGAAGGAGGGAGCCACTGGCGCTTCCTGGTTCACCCGTCATGTGGCTGCTGACGGCACAGGGACGAAACGATTCATGGCTCACGGCTCGGTGAGTTTTTCCGGAGAGGCCCTTACCCGGGAATTGCTTTGGCTGGCCATGGGAAGGACAAGGTCCTCCATCTCACGTTCACCTTGGGTGGCTCCGGAGGGTACCCCAGCCCCACAGGGAAGCGGGAGATGTATTTTTCCCAGCGATTCCCGCTCTGGCGTCGCCTTGCACCATGCCAACTCCCCCCCCCCCCCATCTCGCCGGTCTGCAAAGGGTAGCGGAGGCCAAAGAGCAGCGCTGCTGAGGACGGGGTGGGGGGGATTGACAATAGGCCAGGTTTAAAGCCCCCCTTGGCTGAAGCGGGGGCCTGAGATGCTGCCCCAGACACAGCAGCAGCCCCGGCAGCTGAGCCGGCACCCAGACAGGCGCCCCAACACAGCTCAGGGATCCCGCCTAGCAGCTAAAGCAGAGCTTTGCCATCTGTCCTGGTTTTGGCTGGGGTAGAGTTAATTTTCTTCCTGGTAGCTGGTATAACATTGTGGTTTGGATTCAGTAGGAGAAGAATGTCGGTGACACCCTGATGTTTTCAGTTGTTGCTAAGCAGTGTTTGGAGTAAGTCAAGGATTTTTCAGCTTCTCATGGCCAGCCAGCAAGAAGGCTGGAGGGGCACAAGCCGTTGGGAGGGGAAACAGCCAGGGCAGCTGACCCAAAGTGACCAAAGGAATATTTCATACTATGGGATGTCATGCCCAGTATGCAAACTGGGGGGAGTTGGTTGGGAGGGGGAGATTGCTGCTCGGGTACAGGCTGAGCATTGGTCAGCGGGTGGTGAGCAATTGCATTGTGTATCACTTGTCTTTCTTGGGTTATATTTCACTTTTCTTTATTGTCCTTTTCTTTACAATGATGATTATTATTGTTGTTATGATTATTATTATATTTCTTGGTTTAGTTATTAAACTGTTCTTAGGCCATGAGTTTGACTTATTTGCGATTCTCCTCCCCATCCCACTGGGCAGGAGTGAATGAGCAGCTGCATGATGCTCAGTTGCTGGCTGAGGTTAAGCCATGACACCAACCCCAGCCCGGTGCCAGCAACCCCTCCTCATACCAACCTCCCCCCCAGTGCCTGCATCCCCACCCCAGTACCAGCATCGCCCCGCTACCAACATCCCCTTGGCACCAGCATCCCCCCCGGTATCCCCCCAAGTTTCCACCGACACCCCAAGGCGAAGGGAAGGCAGGAGCAGGCAGGGCGGAGGGCTCTGCCCGGCGGGGAGCGTGGAACCTCTCCCACCCGGGGAACCCCTCTGCTTTCCCCGCCTTCTTCCCTCCAGCTCCTCCTCTTCTTCCCCCCCCCCGACAGGCTGGGAAAACGAAACGAAAGTCCCCGGTGAACGCTGCTGGCCGCCGTTGTCCACATGCCCGACAGCCCCGTTGCCCCCCGGCCGTCCGGCCCCCCAGCAGGTAACGGGGGGGGTGTCCCCCGCTTTTCTGGAGGGGGAGACGGAACGGGGTCGGGGGTGGTGGTGGTAAGGAGGACCCTGCTTTATT